AAAGTGGGTATGGAGGAATGTTTCTCTTTATTAAAAAATTATGATTATAGCGCCAATGGAAATTTCAACAAGAAAGAAACAACAGCAAAGCACAACCACCTTCAAGCATCAAAAGTATTGGGGACCCTTTAACACATGGGAAGGTTGGAAAGTGGTTGGGTGGGGTTTAGAGCCCTAAGTAGAAGTGGAACACAACTAAAGTTTTCAGTAGATCTTTCTGTCTTTTTTTTTTTTTTTTTTTTTTTCATGTTTATTAAAGAGTAATTAATGCTTCAGGATTTTTTATTTGGGTGAAAGAAGCAGACTTATAATTATAGGACACTTGGTTTTTTTTTTTTTTTTTTTTTTTTTTCATGTTTATTATAATACAATCTTCATTTTTATTGGGTGAGAAGCAACTTATAATTATACACTTGCAATTTCCACTGATATGATCTTAGCTTCATATTTGATTTGATTATCTCCAACTCTTTTTCCTTATTTGGATGATGTTTATCTTGATTTTTAATTTGAGTTCTAGGAATCTTAGGTTCCCAAAAGGGGACAGATAATCATCTTCAAATTACTAAATCATGCTTAAAAACTGGAACTTCTTGATACATTTTGATTGCTGACAGCTTGGTTCTACAGATTTTTTAGATTTATAATCAATTACAAGAGATTAGTAGATTTCATTGGAAGAAATTATATTCATGGGCAAACCCGAATCAAATGCGGCAAAAGGAAGGAAAATCCATGGACCGACCACAAAGAAAAATGGAAGTGAGTTGGACAAAAAGAGAAGAAACTTGGACAAAAAATTATTATTATCTTCACAATCAAATATTGACTCTTTCAATATTTTTGTTCATTTGTAGAGATAACTTGAGTATGAATCTTTCAGACTATCTAAAAACAAAAAAACAAAAAAACAAAAAAAATATATTTCTATCAATTCAATTCAATTACTTCATTGGAATCAAAATGTTATATTTAAAGTATTTTTTGAAAATTGAGTATATGGACATTGTGTGATCGAAAATTGATAGAACTTAATTATGTATCTGATTAGAGTATGTGAGTCCATGAATGAGAGAGATGACTCTAAAAAATAAAATATTGAAGGGTCAATTATAAAATCAACATTGACAAGATTGTTTTCTTTGCCTCCATAACCTAGCTAGTTGCGGTGACAAGTTAAAGCACATGCAAAGGTTTAGTACTTTTCTAGGTTCTCTCTATTGTTGGCTGTCAACTTTGTTATCATATGACCGACCTGTGCCTTTTACAATAGTTTCAGAACGACATTCATTTTCTAGGTGAGAAGTTTCGCGTTCTTTATCATGTTTTAGCTCAATTAGTCTCTTAAAACCCAATTTAGCCGTTTATCATTTATTCTTTTTGTTAGAAAAATCGAACAATCCAAAACAATATAACCAACATTAATTAATTAAAGAATCATAGGATTCTCATCACTGAGCACAAGGCATAAAACACCGAGTGCTAACAGTTTGTCATCACTCTGATAGTGTTTATTTCATAAATATTGTCACAGTAGTAAATGCAAAGAAAAGCTCAATTGACATTTTGGACCAAAGAAAATGCAGGGAAACAAGGAAAAAAAAAAAAAAAAGAAAAAAAGAAACCCAACTGCTTACCGTATAATCAAAGAAAAAAGGTAGGGTAGAATGAAAAAATAAAACACAGCATACAAAAAAGAAAACAAGGCAGAGAGAAAAGGACGTTACAACTAAATCACAGAAGAAAAGAGACAACTACCTTTTTCTAAGAGAAGGATCCTCGAGTGTTGAATAATTAAAATAAAAAGATTTTTATCATAGGGCATAAGGTTGAGTGTTAAGAGTTTACCTCCACTTAGACGATATTTATAAAATAAATATTTTTAAAGCAATAAATATGAGGAAAAGTTTCAATGCCACTTTAGGCAAATTCAATATTCAAGAGCCTTTCTGGCTCAAAAAGTTCAAGCCTTTCTAGAAAAAAAAAAATTAAAATTTGGATATCAAGTCACTACCAATATGAAATTTAGAAAAATTATCATGTAGCGTTGAATTCCTCAGAGTTTGGATAAAAAGTTAGATTTGGCTAGGAAAAGTGTTAGGCGTCCAAATCTAATCGGCCATGACACTGACCTCCCTTTGTTAGTTTATTTAAATAAGAATTGATTTTAATTTTTAAGAGTAATTACTAATAAAAAATCCTTTTGAAAATATTTTAATTTTAAAAATAAAAAAGATGATTTTCATTGTTGATATGGCATATTTACAATCACATAAAATAATCATATGTATAACAAATAACTAAACATCTAAAGAAAGTAGAGAGGAGAAAAGAATTCAATTCCAATAAAAATTACATGGAAATAAGTAAATTTATAATTAATTAATTACAACTCCTTTTAAAAAAACCTACAACTAATTAATTATAATTCTTTTAAAAAAAAGCTACAACTAATTAATTACTCAGATGCCTTTTCTGGTAAATCCAATCCAAAATGCTTTTCGAGTAAAAAAAAGTGACCTTCTAGTAAAGAAAATTCTCGATACACATAACTTTCTGCCGAATCTAATGCAAACAAAAATTCATGATTGAAATTGCTTTTTTGGCAAGATGAAATGTCACGTGCCTTAAAACAAAATATGGCCTTTCTGACAAAAAACTTCATGTGCCTTTCTAGAAAAATTGAAGAGCCTTTTTTGACAAAATCAAATGTCATTATCCTTTCTGGCAAAATCAAAATTCAAGAATCTTTCTGACAAAAAAAATCGTTAAAGTGTCTTTCTAGCAAAAAACACTATTCAAGATTGACGGTCACTGCAAGAAAATATCAAAATAGCCATGGATATTACAGTTTCTAAATGACGAAAATCCTTTCCTAAATCGGTTTGGAAACGGATCAGACAGAAATTACCGGTGACAACCAGGGGGCGTTTCTAAGGCAGTTTAGAAACGGATACCATATCGTTTCTAATATCCAATAAATCCATTCCGAATATTTGACCTCTTCGGGAATGAATTCCATTTCTAATCCGTTTTCCTTCCGTCACTGAATCCATTATTTCTAAAGCGGTTTGTATATAGGTTTCTAAATATTTATATCGTTTCTGATTCCGTTTCTAACATTGGAGAAAGATGCAATCTGAATTTTGTGTTGCTGAATCGTTTCTCATTCAATTGCTAAATATTATCATCCGTTGCTAAATCCGTTTTTAGCTTGTGATGGGCATAAAATTCCTCCTTAGTCCAGTTCTAAGTTCGTTGCTATTTGTCCATTTTTGTAAGATATTCCATATTTCTGAATATTCTATTTATGTTTTGTTTTCAGATTTTGCAATTTAAATATTTTATAATAAAATTAATTTAAAATCAAATAACGAAAAGTTTAGATAGAATTGCATAACTTAATTTTAAAATCAAATAAAGAAAAGTTTAGATAGAATTGCATAACTTAAAATATATTAAAATATTAAAACAATAAAAATTGTCATACAATAAAAATAACTATATTAGCTTTCGTGGGTTATATGTCCTGAGGAGGCTGACAGAATTTTACAAATCCGATTAGCTTTTGGCAGAGAGATGATTCCCTGGTATGGCGTTGGTCTCGCAAAAGAAGCTACCAGGTGAAGAGTGCTTATAAGGTTGCTTCTTGCAGCTTCTTTGCAGCGTTATTTTATTGATAATCACTGGCTGTGGAGGTGGGTATGGGGATTACATGTGCCTGCTAACGTGAAACAATTTATTTGGCGGGCCTGCCGTGATCTGTTGCCTACTGGGGTACGCCTGAATACTAGAGGAATTCATGTTAATGACGCTTGTGAGAATGGTGGACCACAATTCATGCTTTGATGGCTTGTTCTAGAGCGGAATAGTGTCTTTCGGAAATGCAGGTTCCTTCAGTGGTAGCTTCTGATGGTAATTTAGTCAGTTTGGTTTTCATCGTTGCTGCAGTTGGGTTCCAAGCGTCAGGTTGAGGAGGCATCTGTTTATTATGGTACATATGGTTCCACAGGAACCTGTTGATTTGGCAAAATGTGCAGGTCTCTCCTACTTTCACTTGCTCGATAGCTCGCAAATATCTTGATGACTGGTGTGCTGCGAGAATGAGTGGTCAGTCTGCTACTCTGCTCAGTCTCATTCGTTACATGGTGTCTGGGTTCCTTAGGGCTTATTAAAATATCACCGATTAATTTAGTTACCACCAAAATAGGCTCTATAATAAGCCAAGACTTGGGAAGCCTTAGGCCCAAAGTTGGAGGTCCAAGCCCACATTCTAGAATACTCCATAATTCTCCACACATGAGATGTAATAAAAATATCTTACCTAACTCTAGAATGTTCTTATTAGCTTACCTACAAACCATGCGGCCTCTATATAGACCAAGACTTCGCACACTTCACCCCAAAGCTCTGGAGGTCCAGCCACATTCTAGACATACTGCCATGAATTCCTCACACATCGAGATGCCTAATAAAAATACTCTCACTCACCCACACCCTTGTAATCCCTAGACCGTCCATTTTTTGGTAAACAAATCTTAGCCGACTCTGATGAGGTGGAAATAGCCTATAATATATCACGCCCTTTTTCAAATTCGTAAACACTAAGAACAAAAACCACACGTATGTAATCTTTCTCTTAGCTTTTGTGATGTATTAGCTTCCCTTATGAAGTACATTATATTTTGGTATTTTGTGTTAGTGATTCACTTTTGGTTGCCTTTCCCGTTAAGTGATTTATTGTGTTATAGAATTTATTAATCAATCTTGGAGTTGTCACTGCGTTGATATCGCCAACACATGGTATCACGAGCATTCAATCCCCATAAGTGGTATCAGACCTGGTCTGTGGTGGTATCAGTTGTAGCCGTGTATTTTTGCGTGTTCATTTTACAGAGTCGGCAGGGTACTATGTACTCTGGCTGGAATTTACAGTCGGGGACTGTTGTGAACCACAAGAATCACAAGCTCAACGGATTGTGATGTGATTGGTCAAGGACCGTTCGCTGCATTGGTTGTGGTCGAAACACCAGTCACTTATGTCGGATTTTTCTGGAGTTGCTAATAGCATCGAGAAAGCTAAATAAGCAACAATGTACGGAAACCTGGAGTAACCGAATGGAGATATTATCTCATAGGTCAAGACTTATGGATATCATGGAAGAGATAATCCTAAACTACCAGTTGGGATGCGAAAGCTCTGAAAGAGTGGGAGACAAAATGCGTGGAAGGCGATGGTATCGTGCTGACAGTTACAGTAGAAGATGAGCAATGCAACGGATCAAGTCCGCTAAAACACCAACAAGGAAGGCATGGGACATTCTAGCTGCTTTCGCAAGAACAACGAAGCAAAATCTGTGACAGCTAGAAACGAGTTGTTCTCGCGATCATCGCAACAGGAAACCTCACTGTAAGTCAACGTTTCTCTCAAAGTAAATATCTTTATGGTGAGGGATCTTCGAATTAGAGTCCAGATAACGAGATCAATCGGACCAAAGGATGAGTGTGATTCATCATGCCATGGTGTAAGACCTGGAACTTTAAGGGTCTTGGACTTGCTACTCGTGCTTGGCCTATCACAACCACCTTTAGACGATTAGTAAAATATCTTGTCCATGAAGAGAACTTTGGACGACCAATGTCTAAAGTAGCTTTTTGGAGGATGATGAAAAAGGCTCGTCTTTGCTAAAATAGAGGGCAATTGCTTGAAACGTTGCGAGAGTAAAAGATGGTGGAAAAGGTGAGCAATCAACAAGGAGAGAAAGCAAAAGTGGGACGCATCTCAGCAAGCGCGAGAGCAAGAGCCAGGACAAAGGAAAGACGAGCTGCGCGAAAGTCGACTCATGCTCATAAGTGCAACAAAGAGGAACATTTCGCCCGAGAAATGTCGAAGCAGACGAGTAGCAAGGAAACGTAGCATCCCTCCAGAACGGACAACAAAGTGAAGAGGAATGGGATACTCTCACCAGTTCCTTTGGTTCAGCCGAGGAAGAATATTGGCCATCAGAAGGCCAGCAAGAGCTGATGATCGACAAGGACCCGAGTAATAGAGTGTCATTAATATCTGTACGTGATAGAATCCGTATGATGACTGATGGATAGTTGATTCGGAAGTTCTTAATCCATGACAGGAAATAAGGAGAGATATCGGATGTATCCGATTTATGATGGAGGTTTGTGTCGTAGTCACAGCAAATAAGCACAAGATTGCCAGATGCTCACATGTTGGAAAGACAACCATTGTTCTCCCTCCAGTAAGAGAAAATGGAGTTACATATGGGTTCTATCATATGTGCCAAGGAATGAAGAAAAATTTCTCTGTATCACCCAAATAGCGAGTGCAGGTAATTATGTGGTGTTCGGCTCCTGATAATGTTAAGGTTTCTCGTAATCTTACAATTATCGGAGATGCCAATGATGGCAAGGACGGCGAGTAAGACATCTACGTCATCGTCAGACAGCTGACTTGTGGAACGCTCATGTCCCTCGGGACATGTTGTTTCACAAGCTTAAGGCCTGATGATGCACGAAGTCCATGCTTAAAGGGTCTTCTCATTGGATGCCGAGAGAGACAATATTGTTCTGGATCCAGTGTGAAAAGCTCATCCAACTTCCTCTTTGAAAGAGTCAAAAACATAGAGGCCAGGTTGCCATTGGAGGTTAATACTTCAGATGTTCTTGGAAGAATCAAGCAATGTACAATGTAAAATGAGGTACAGATTACTTTCATCGATGACACTCGACGATGTTTGATAGACTTTTCATGGTATGAGAAGTCAGAAGCTTTTGAAAATTCAAAGCTTTCAAAAAGAAGTTGAAATAAAGAAGCTTTGGGAATAAAAAATTAGATGCCTCGTCGCACGACAATGGTGGAGAGTACACGTCTGACGATTCATAATAGTTTGGCCCAAGAGCGAAGGCATTCGAAGGCAATTCAACATGTTCAAGAAGACACCGCAACAGACATGGAGTTGCTGAGGAGGAAAGAATCGACACTTTGGTGGAGATTTGTAGGAGTTTCGCTCCATGCGAAGAAGTGTTTGCCAGCTAGCTTTGGGCAGAGTGCATGAAGACAGTTGTGTAACATCACCAACAGACTAACCTCAAGCAAGACTGGAGTTTACATCCCATTCGAAACTGTGGAACATTAACCAACTGTAAGTCATTTCCTTCGTGTTTTTGGATTGCATGTGTTATGTCTCTTCCGAATGAACTTCGGAAGCTAAGTTGACAAAAAAGGCACTCGCGCCCTGCATCGACTTCCGTTGGTTATGAATGAGCCAAAGAAAAGGCTGAAGACTGTTGTGAATCTATAGACTAAACAGTGCCATATTTCCACCGAATGTGGATCTTTTGATGAGACATAATCTTGGTGTTCATCTGAAGCAACTCTACTACCAGACCAAAAGAAATTCCAAGAAATTTGAAAAGAAGATAGGAGAGGGAGAGTTCATCATCAGAGAAAGGTCAGGATGGCCATCCAGAGTTCAAGAGAAATCGAAGAGCCCATGGAAGATAGGTGCATGACGACAGACAGAGCCCACAGTTAAGAAGAACAAGATCGCAGATTATCCTCTTCACTTTAGCGATTCGGGGCGATGAAAGAAGGCCTAAT